ACATAAAGAAGAAATTACATACGGGTCTAGGGGACCTGGACATTGCGCAAAAGTTGGAAGACTAAAAGCCGCTTAAGTAATAAGAATGCAATTAGACCATCTTAATAATTTATCTAATAAAAATTTATTTGACTTTAATTAATTATTGTTTAAGTATTTTTGAGTTCAGTTGAGCGTTATTATGAGTGAGACGCTTAATCGAGTAGTTAAGATCGTAACTGACACGATATTCCCAATTTCCAGACAAGATATAGAACGGCAATCCCTTTCTAAAAAAAGGACTGGTAACTATACAATTTAAAGGAATTATAGTAAAAGGATTTGAATATGTATCAAATCTTCCTCTTCAAATGGCATTTTATTTCAATTCGTTATTCGCACCATTTTGGTTTATTGGAACACTTATTCCTCTAATTTATGAGGTTGGATAAACTTTAAATTAACCTACAGTTTTATCGCATGACATCTATATATCAAGTTATCAATTGTGCGCTTTTGTCAATTTGTTCGATTTTAGAAATTTTACGTTTAATCCTTGGTATGATAGGAAATTTAACTGAAAAGGTAAATAACTCGTATATTTATTTCCTTGCTAAGGTACCTGAATTAGCTGGTTCGTGGCTTTTGACGTTGCTCTTGCAGTTACCATCTATTCTTTTTTTTCTTTTGAACGAAAATATGATAATATCTTCATTTGAACGTTCAATACACCTAGTAGAATTCTTCTTCGTCAGTTTTGAAGCAATTTTGGGATTCTTTGTCATTAAACTTATGGTTCAAAGCCAGGCGATTAAATTTCACACAAAAATGCATTTGGGTGAGATAGCTTCTTAAAGACGTACTTTTAATCGTAATAAATATATATTGCTGATATAAACTTGTTATTATTTTTGAAAAAGATAGCTTTAGGTTTATTTGGCTTAGGTTTTTATTTGCGTAGAAGGGCCAACATTTCTATAATTCCTTGGTAATAAATCATTGTGGGCATTTTGGCCGGGATAGTTTGATCAGATGCCAAAGCTGTTCACCATTTTTGTATCAATGTCTTAGTATTTCTATATTGTAACCTGAGCTAATTACCTCGCCTTATTTGTGTGATACTTGTGTATTAGTTGCCAATACTCTATTCCTTATTTTCTGATACTTTCAAGCACAATTTTTTTTAAATTCTGAGTCTTAATGTTATACATACAAATTCCACATCATTTTTAAATTCCTCTTAGGAGCTAATCATTTTCTATGGTCAATGTAACTTTTAATAATTTATAATTAATTGGGCCACAATAGATTTAAATGAACACTTGTATCTACCTATACCTTCTTTGCATTTCTTAAAAATGGTTCGGTATCATTATTCGATTACATTTTAGATATTGTCTAAGTGTGTTATCTTTTATTTGAAACACTTTTGAGCACAACCTTTGATTCCTAAAATAGCAAAGGTGTTCCTTCACTCTCAGATAGAAATGTCATAATTCTTACATATGGATACCCACCCTAAAAGTAACGGATCCTATCAACAATTAAGACCAAATTGTTTGAAAAATATTGACAATTTAAATTGACTATTTTTTTATTCATCAGGAATAGGTAGGAAGAACTAAAAATAATACTAAGATGCATTTGAGTCAGAATTATAAGTCATCATTTAGCCGAGTTATGAAAACTAATATTAGTAATGAAAGCAATTATAACCCCAACGCTTGAGTGATCG